GATAGCTGGGGATGAGTGGTGTTAGTTCTGTTTTCTTAGAAACTGTTTTAAAAATTATGTTGGCTTCCATAATTCATCGTACTTGGAATTTAAATGTGCAGCTTTGTAAGTTTTCAAAAAGTGATATTTGGTTTGGGGATAAACATGTACACACTCTAAATTTAGAGTCCCTTGGGACTTTTGGATGATATAGGGAAAGGTGCTTGACTTCCAAGCCATCCGTTGTAGCTCCTGTTGGGGAGTAACTGGGGAGTGGGAGTACAGGAATGGAAAGACTAAGTCCTGGTTCGGGAGGTTTTCAGTAGCTTTTCTTTCTTTGCTGTTTGGTTTGCTATTGCTTTTTAAAAAATATGAACTTGTAACCAGAAATATAAATAAGCGAATTGAAAAACAGCATAGATATAGACATAAAGTATAAATTGTTAGCTGCTAAAATCGACAGAAATGACACAGTAGGCAACCAATACATTATTAATAATACACATATGTATCAAGTCCGTCAGAAAATGTCTGGTGATACTGTACTTTAGACGTGATGAAGACAGCCTATGTTGCTGAGTGGAAGATTCACACATTCAGTGCCTAGCCTTACTGCTTTATCCCATGCTTCTTATGTTGTAGAAGCTGATTGCCAAGCTTTGGATGCCATTCTTACCTTTGTGTGAAAACTGTGAGTTTATAACTGAGCGTTAAATGATCACATAGCTGAAAGGGGACAATGGGGAGTCACTGTCTATATCTGTGATGCCTTTGTTTGCCTTAGGCTCAGTAAGTATTTGCTCACCTGGATAATTAATGCACTCCATACTGAAAATCTGTAAAGTTCCTGTCACTCTAATTTCATACAATATGTATTGATCTTATTCACCACCCCCCAAACTCCCTCTAAATACACTTCTCACTTCTCTACCCCTCCCACCTTTGTGTTGGTTGTTTTTTTTTGGTGTGTGTGTGTGTGTTTTAAAGCTCATGGAGTCCAGTTTGTGCTGCCCACATGTCCTTGGATGTGTGGCCTTCCCCTGGGGCTTGGGAGACATACGAAGGCAACACTCTTGAAGAAAATTGACTCCCCGTCTTCTAGCAGCTATCATTTGTCAGTGGCTCTTCAGCCACCACCACCCCTCTTCATGCTGGGATTTTGTCTGACTTGAATTTGCACAGGTCTTGTGAACTTTAACAAGCACGGCGATTTCATATGTGCAACTGCCCCTCTGTATTTGGAAAACAGTTTCCTTGTAGTTACCCACTGCCTCTGGCTCTTCTAGTCTTTGTTCCCTCTCTTCCATAATGATCCCTGAGCCTTGGAAGAGGGAATGGTATGTTATAGATGTCCCATTTAGGACAGAGAATTTTGCAGTCCCTCGTTCTCTGCACCTTTACCAGTCGTGGGTTTCTGTGTTAATCACTATCGGCTGAAAAGAGAAGCTTCTTAGATAAGAGTTATCTCTTGTATTAGCACCCCAACATTTTGTTTGCTATGCTAACAGTGGACTTAAGAATGTACCTTTTAGTAGCAGATAACCCTTACATGTTTTATTATTAATAGGAAACGTCACTTACCTTGAACACATTTCACTGGGCAGATCACACTTCTCTCAATAATACTAGATCAGAAACTTCTTTACAAAGAGAAGAGATTATTTGGAGGTGAATGTGTGTTTAAGTCTAGCCAATCATAGTGAGAATTTCATTCATCATTGTAGCCGGCCAGATTTCATTGGGTGTCAGGTCAGATTCACAGAATGTGCTCTCTGATCGTGACCTTTATATCTTTGGTAATATAAATGGCACCATTTAAGTTCTCCTGGTTTCATTTTGCAAATCTTCCATTGCCTATAGCGCGCTAGGAGTCAGGACTACAGGCAGCCTAGGAACAGGTTAGCCAGAGCAAGTGACCGATCTTCTCCATGTGCAGCATTGAGCCTAGAAACATGGCTGCCCAAGACCCATGTCAGGAGGCCAGTGAATTGCTTCCTAAAATAGTGGGTAATGTGATAGCATAGAAGAAGACCATCATAAAATCTCTTTAAGATACATCTGTAAAATGGCGTCTTCTATGTAGAGACATTTCACATGCTAAGGCCCCCTCTTAGCTTCCAGATGTTCTGTGTACCTCAAGACTCACCTTTAACACTTGTTTTCTTTGGTCAGTAAGATGACTCAGCAAGTGAAGGTGGTTGCTGCCAAACCCAGTGACCTAAGTTCAATCCCTGGAACACACATCCAGTGGAAGGAGAAGACTTGAATCCTTGAAGTTGTACACACATACAGATAAATAGTTTAAAAAATAAAAAGCAAAAAACATGTTTCTCAGCCTGGTTGTACCTTAAAATCACTAAACTGTTTTCAGTGCTTCAAAACAAACTGATCAAGTCAGAATTTTAGAGTCTGGGACTCAGACTCCCCAAGATCTCTGAGCTGATTCTCCCATGCAGCTGAGGTTGAATCACTAAGATGATTAAAAGTTGTTGGTAGAAAAACTGTAGAAAAGAAAACTGCATGCTTCTGATGGCAGTTACTACTTAATTTTAGTAGAGTGACAAAACTATACAGTATGATGCTTGTCTGCTTCTTTTCCATCATATGGTAATGCCTTCCTGATATAACCTAAATGAATATGCTTAAAGACATAGTGTATAGTATGTGTGCTCTTTTTCCTTCTGTTATCTTTTGACTAGGATGTCCACTTTCATCCATAATGAGTATCATCGTCATCGTTGTTTTAGCATTCTAGTTGTATAGGAATTATCTTTGTTTTTAGGTAGGAAGCAGTGGCTCTGAAAGGTTGAATAACATCTTCATTCAACCTTTGTTGAATGTCACACATTGGTAGATAGCAGAGAGGAGATTAGAGCTCACATGCCAGTCTTCAAATCCCATATTCCTTCCCTCATAAGCTGGTCCCTTGTGCAGATTCTTTTTGTGTTCTGCCAACTTGAATCCTGCTCAATGACAGGAGAGTCGCAGCACTTCTCTTAAGAGGGCATTCTACACATATACAGTAGACATGTGAGAAATGCTTCTGAAATTGGTAAAAAGCTGGAGGCTTGAAATTACAGTAGTTTGACATATGACCTTTTTCTGTAGGTTTATTTTATGTGTATGAGTGTTTTGCCTACATCAAAGTGTGCACACTCATGCCTAGTGTGCATATATATATATATATACTGAATATAGTGCTAAGGAAACAAGAGCCCACTTCATTCTTGGCCCTCCTTTTTAATTCTTTGCTTTCTGAGGTGCTGATCTTCTAACCCAGGGCCTTGCACATCTTAGGTAAGCTCTGCAGCACTGCCTTATACCACAAGCCCCCTTCTGTTTGTGGTTGTTTTTGCATACAGGAAAAACACATCTTGGTAAGAGGGAACGTTAGCTCCTGTTTTCCCAAATTCTTTTCACGGTCTCCAAAGAATAATAGATTACAACTTCTCATGCTTACTAGGTTATGGTTGGCCTTCTGTGTTTATCTGTTTATTAACAAAGAAGTCACACACTAGAGTAACCAGAGGGGCTGTCTTTAATATCAGTACATAGCAGTTGGGGGACACAACAAGTCCCCCACTTTCCTATGAAACTGCTAGAGAGCCAGGGTTTTTTAATCAAGCATTTGTACTTTCCAGGAAATGTCAGTTGTCTAAACCCCTTATTCATTGTGTCACCTGTCTCTTCTTAAATGGAGAAACTTCACCTTGGCTGAACATTTGATCCCTGGGAGCAGCCTGACATAGGGCTGTGTTCTCTCGCTTCCCCCTACATGGTACCTCCCTGTTTTCTAATAGGGTTCCACTGAATGAGGGGTGAGAGGCCAGCTGATGGGCACACCACAATGGCAACAAGCAAGAGTTGTTTGGAAGTTATTCTTTACAACCCTTTTTGTGCTTCATTATTTCCTTGTCTCTCCCTTTTCTTGTCATGATGGATGCTGTTCTCTGTGTAAATCCCTTTGTTTTCCTATAATCCCTTTTTAGATTAGAATAGTACCTAGAAAAATTTTGTTGAATTTATTAAAAGAAATATCCTTCTAAACTAAGTGTGGTCATACATTGTTTAATGACAGCTCATTCTGAGATGTGCTGTTTGTCCATTTTGTCATTTATGAGCATTGTAGGTAGTCCTCATATACTAGCCTAGATGAGACAGGTCAGTTACCCAGTATAAACCTTGATAGAGTCAAAAGATGAATTTGAGGAGACTGTATACAGAAACATGGCATATTTTTGTATAGCACACCTTTTAAATGCTTATTGTTAAATGCCTAATAGAAAATACATTAATCAATAAATCATTATCAAGTAAGTAATCACTATACAAACTGTATTGCTGTGCTCTCATATGACCAGTTCATTACATTTGTTTGCATCAGCATTGTCATAAGCACATGACTCTGAATTGTGCTATGAGGTCACCATAGTAATGATGGCACTATGTGGCAGGAATGTTTCAGTTCTATTAGACTCTACTGGGAGCACCATTGTGTATGCAGCACACTGACCAAAATGTCATTATGTGGCACATTCCTACACGTATGCACTGTCTTCGCCACTTTACTCTCTGTAGTAACTGTAGCTGTCCAGTGCTGTGAATGTGTCAGTACGGTTCAAACAACACTGGCAGGTTCTTGGTTGCTGTTGCCATCTTCTGTTTTATAGGTAAAGAAAGGGGAGTTCATGTTTTTGTCTCTTCCTTCTGGAGCTCAGCAGAGAAACGCACCCAGTTGTGGGGGCTGCTGCCACATCCTGAATTAGGCACATGGTGTGCGATGGGATGCTCTGGGTCTGTGTGGTTTCTTATGCAGCTCTGCTTTTTAAATTTGCAAATATACTGGACAGGAGATTGAAAAAAAAAGACTACATCTTTATCTGAAAGAATGAACAGAGTTTCCTTTTCTGTTGAGAACCTATTTGGATGTGAATGACAGGAGACTGTGCCCAAACCAAAGTCTGCTCCTGCCAGTGGGTTGAACTAACGTATCTTTCCCCTTCCCTCTTCCCTCTCCTTAGGGCAGAGCTTGGGTTACGGCTTTGTGAACTACATTGACCCCAAGGATGCAGAGAAAGCTATCAACACTCTGAATGGATTGAGACTTCAAACCAAAACAATAAAAGTATGTTCACATTTTTCTTAAATCTACTTGTAGAAAAAGGAGGGATTTTTTTGTTTGTTTGTTTGTTTTAGGTTTATTTGTAGTTCTTTTTCATTTGGGCCTCATAAACACTTCTCTGGGAGCATAATATTTTTGTGCTTATTCCGCAAAGGAGGCTAAGTATTCTAAATATAAGTCTAGACACTTAATATTGCCAGACAAAGCAGCAGTGCTCTTGGATAAATACTGTAGAAGCCCCCTACATTAAGTACTTCTTATAGAGAGAATCCTTATCCTATTGCTCGAGGGGTTCTTGAACTTGTCTAGACAGTAGTTGTTGGACTTGTTTTGTAAGCTAGTAAATGCATGAGGTTTTGCAAGCCAGTAGGACTCAGTCAGGGCTCTCACCTCTGCCCTTGCTATGAGAATGTGACTGTGGCTACTACATATATAGATGAGTTGTAGTGTGATCTAGTATAGCCTTTATTATAAACACCAAAACTTAAATTTCATGTGGTCTTTGTGAATAATAAAGTATTACTTATTTTTTTAGTTTAAAATGTAAAACTATTAGTGGTTAAGCAAGTTAGATCTAGTAGTGGTGTTTTGTCTTGACTCAGTCCTAGCAGATTTCCGAGGAGATGAACTCTAAAGCTCCCATGGCACATGGGTCATTTTTTCTTTGAAGATGTATAATGGTATTTTATGGATACTTTTCTGCAGCTTTATATTTTGAAATCCTTACTTGAATTATCTGGGTAAGAAGTTGATCCAGTTTCCAGCTTAGATTTCTTTTTCCTTAGCAAATAGGGGCAGTGTTGCCTCTAGCAAATCATTGGCCCTCTGTCATCAATTTATTCCCTCCTGCCCAGTGTAGACATCTCATATCTATCATGGTACACTTTCTCACTGAATCCAGATGTAGCTCCCAAATATATTTCAAAATAGTGTTCCCGACAATCTCTATCAATTGACTCAAGTTGGAACCTATTTTCTGCCCGTGATGTGAGAAGCCAGCCCAAACTAGGGCCTAAGAGGAGGGTACTCAAGGCAGACTCTGCCATCCATCTTGTTTAGAGGCTCGTCTAGTGTTGCCCTTTTTTTGCTTTTTTCCCTTCCTTTGGAGGTATCTTGAAATGCAGTGTCATCTTTGTGCTTAAAGTGACTTCTCTTAGGATTGTCAGTTAAGGTGATTTGTTAGCCCTGGGTCGTTTTGACACCTCATTCTTTATATTTATTGGCCCAAAGGAAAAATTCCTGTCGGCTCTTTTCATCTAAAGGAAACTGTATGATAGTCTCCAAACATACTTAGATGTAGGATGTCCAATAATGCTGGGTGTTTCTAATAAAGAAAGTGGGAGAAGATACATCCTGTAATCAGAAAAGGAACTGATCATTCTGTTACCAAAATTCTAAGAAAAATCTTAGAGAAATTTAAGATGATAAAAAGTTGGTTTTGATCCTTTTTTTTTAAAAAAAAAAAAAAAAAACCTGAATTGCTTTTTTTTCCTAACTCTTCACACTTGCCTGCTTAATCTTTCTTTATGTCAAATGCTCAGTCTTTAATAGAGATAATACAGTGCCGTTAACAATGGTGCCCACTATCTGGCTATCTCTAGGCTGTTTAATGTGTTCTATGTCCTATGGATTTTTGTAGGCTTCCTCTTCCTTAACTTAAATGACCAGCAATCCTGGAAATCAATTGCTCTTAGTGCTGAGAGCCCAAGTTGTTAAAAGGAAAATGAAATATGATTGGGATGGCTCATCTCAGCAAATGACCATTTTCCTCATTCCAGAAATAATCACCCTTATTTCATTCTTAGTGAGTCACTTCTTTTGCTATACATACTGTCTGCTCTAAGATCCAGAAAAAGGTAGAAATGCAGAGGAAGCAGGTCACCGTAAGATAAATGTACTGGGCCTTTACAGAAACCATTGATGACAGCTGTTTCTATACTGCCCATGGTCCTGCCTTCTCTCCTCAGGACTTAGCTACTTGGGCTGAATGTACAAGAAAGGACAGTAATGCTTTGTGACTTTTATACTGTGACACCTGCTACTTGTGACTTTCTGAAATTTGGGAGGGATGATGGGCAGGCAGCAGGCTACTTCTTCCCCTGCCCCCATTTGGTTCTTGCAAAAATATCAGATAACAGCTGGTATCCTCAATTTGGCCCAGATTTCTCCAAAAGGCAAAGCAGACCATTTTCCAGAAGTAGATTGCACAATTTTTGCCTATATTTGTATTTCTATTTTTTCTTTTTCTTTTTTCAATTAGATAGGTTTTGCATTCTTAACACGAACTCTCAAGTATGTTTTTTCTTGCCTTCACTATTTTCTGTGTGATCTGGAAGCTACACTTAAGTTTTCCATTCTCTGGAATGCTATATCACCATTCTCTTTTTCCCTGCTTCAGTTCATCTTGATGATGGCTGTCAGGCTGATTTTACCCATTCTCATTCATTGACCCATTCAGAGCCCCTCTGAAACCCTGCCTTGTTGCACTGTTCCAACTCATATTGGGTTCTCCTCTGTTTAAGCTCCATGCTCTTTACCCACAAGTAACCATAGACGTTTTCTGGTCAGCATGATCCACGTGTAGTTTAGACTTAGACTACTCTCTGTCTCCTAAAATTGTGGAGACCTTGGTGCTCATACAGCTTAGCCAAGGTTGCATAGTTGAAGAAAGCAGTGACTCCAGTACATGTTTTCTAATACTCCACCAAAACATGTGCTAGTACACCATGTTTTTCTTTAGAGGAAAATAGCTACTTTGTATACAGATACTTATATATAAAATTTAGGCTTCTTGAATTTTGATTTCTGTTGTGTTTTCCAAGCCGCCCACCATATCAGTATGACTTTGGTAAATACCTGACTTTTTAAAATACTGAAGCATTGAAGCAGTGACTGAAGTGCTGTGAAAGATGGCTTGCTTAGAAGTTCTCCCAGGGCTTCCTAATAGTATCAGCCCAATAGGGATCCTTGTAATAGTTGGTGTCTGAAATGACATATATTCACTATTTCTTCAGTGAGTGGAAGTCCCTTAGGCCCCATGAGAATCAAAGGTTATTGTTGCGTGGAAATCATGTGAGGAATGACTTAGATGCACATATTCCAGAACTAGGATGTATTAGCTTAGTGTCCCCTGGTGAGATCCAGTAATCTACATTTCAGTGAGTTTCTGTGTTTTATTTTTGTTTGTTTGTTTTGTTTTGTTGGGTTTTGTTTGTTTGTTTTGTTTTGTTTTGAAACAGAGTTTCTCTGTGTAGTCCTGGCTGTCCTGACACTTTGTAGACCAGGCTGGCCTCGAACCCAAAGATCTGCCTGCTTCTGCCTCCCGGGTGCTGGTGTGTGCTGCCACCACCCTGCAAGTTTCTGGTTTTGAATGGGTGGGTTCTCTGTATAGTTAATGCTTTGTACACACAGTTCAGTTTGTCTCATAGCTCCTCCTCTGATCAGCTTTTGTGGCTAATTCTATTAGCTGGAGTAAAATGTCGGTGTCTTCTTGAGTATGTTGAATAATTGGTCAGCATTTGTAGCTTATGGTTCAGTCTTCACCTTCAGAAAGAGCATCTTAGAATCAGAAAGTCCTGAGAGAATGGTATCACTTTATTTTGATATGATTAATCACTTTTCTGGATCTTTCTGTGCCTGCTGGGGCAATATGCTTACAACACCCCTTGCTAGTAACAAGTGATGGATCTGTCAGCAGCATGAAGGTAGCCACATTGGGCTAAACCTTGCCCATATTGTTCCTTATATTGACATAGCAAATAAAGTATGACTGTTCCCAGATGTTAATGTCTTCTATTGGGAGGTGGGTAGGGAAAAAGTATAGTTTCTGTACAGCTCAGACAGTAGAGGCCCAACATATTCTAAGGGCAGTATACAAAATTATGTTCAAGGTAGTGTCTTTGATCAGTAGCCCTCCATTATCCACAAGATCCTGTCTATGGACTGCTCAGGAGCTCAGTGCCTGTTGACTGTCAGTCATAATGCCCTTTCCTGACTTGTTTTTAGGGGACCATATATGTTGATAAGATCTGAATAGTACATATAACACACAGTTTAAAGCCAATACATTTGTCTTTCATCTAGATTAACGTATCAGACTTCAACTCATAAGTAGAAGAAAAATGATTATTTTACAAAGTAAAACAATTCGTTTCTGAAGTGCCTGTATATTCTCTTGACACATGCTCACAAAAGGTGATTGTGCACAGTGATACGAACACCTGATTCAGCATATCTCCCATCGTCTCTCTTCTGGAATAGTACTCTGGAAAGCAGGGCATATGAAGCTTTATTTTCCAGAATGTGAGCTCTGTTACTGGAAAATGATCTTTTATTGTTAGGTACTACTCCTGAAAACCAGCCCTTACCCCCTGAGAAATCTGGAAGTATGGCCAGCATGGAAAAGTGCCTCCTTGTATTCTTTTCCTTCCCCATAATTATTCAAAGCATATAGCAGACTAAAAATTTCTTTTGCCTAAAAATTATTAACTACCATCTAGAAATATAAAATACCTTTATTAAAATAACTAAACTACTATTTAAGCACATATGGAAAATTCTATTATAAAAATTGGAATATTAAATATTAATAATAGCTATTCCTTTAAGTGTTCAGATTGGCAGTGATTAAGGTAATCTAATAAACCTTTATTCTGAGCCCCTGTGTTACTTTTCATTTTTTTCTTAAAGATTTATACTTTTTACTGTTTCTCGATTAAAAATTAGAAAATGTCAGATTTCATTTTCCCACCTGTTTAGCCATGAGTTGGAATCTTCACATGGAACCGGAAGCCTCTGTTTCTGAAATCTTTTCTTGACTCACCTGGCTCTGTCACCCTAGTTTCAACTGTTTAACTTCCAAGTGTAGCTGTGAATGACTTGGAACTTGACCTCTCCAAACTGGGAAATCTAAAGTGATCCAAAATTTGAGACCTTAGACTGTTGCCCTGATGAGTCCACAACATAACACTATTCCATGCACAAAATTCTTAGAAATAACCTGT